GGAAAAGTGATTTCAATGGGACTTAGAAGAACCAACAGTTCTGCTGTCTCCACTAGCAGTTTTTAGTGACAAAGCCAAAACCAAACTCTAAGCCTTATCTACAGCAGTGCAACCTCCTCATTGCTGCACTATGGGTGCCAGTTTTACTCCTTATATCTTTCTAGGAAATGTATGTTTTAGATTCCTGACAGAATGTGGCTTTGAAAAGCTTCTTCTCCTGAGTGATTATGTTTGGCCAGGACTTTTGCTATTTCAGGGGATGACTGGGTTAATAGAAAATTAATTGAAAGCCTCTTTGATTGGACTTGGTGCAGTTGGCTGCAGTTCCTTGAACTCCACCAGGATTTTGACTTAACTGCCATGTGTGGAGGGTCTCCTGGATGCCAGAGGTGCGCAGATGGGATGCATTCATCATTGATTGATTGTTTCATTGTACAAGGGAGTGGGGTTCAATTAAATTTCAAAAAACTCAAAAAAAATTTCAAAAAACACTTTTTTAAAAAAGTGAGTACTGATTTTGTTATCCTTTCCCTTCTAGAGCAGGCCATGCCAATACAATATCAGTTGCAGCCACTCCCCTGAGTGCCTCTTAACCCCATTCCAAAGCTCTATTTGTAGCTAATATGGGTCAGGTTGTGGAACATTTATTCTGATGGTGAGCAGTTACGCAAGTAGAATCATAGAATCATAGAATATCAGGGTTGGAAGGGACCTCAGGAGGTCATCTAGACCAACCCCCTGCTCAAAGCAGGACCAATTCCCAACTAAATCATCCCAGCCAGGGCTTTGTCAAGCCGGGCCTTAAAAACCTCCAAGGAAGGGGACTCCACCACCTCCCTAGGTAACGCATTCCAGTGCTTCACCACCCTCCTAGTGAAATAGTGTTTCCTAATATCCAACCTGGACCTCCCCCACTGCAACTTGAGACCATTGCTCCTTGTTCTGTCATCTGCCACCACTGAGAACAGCCGAGCTCCATCCTCTTTGGAACCCCCCTTCAGGTAGTTGAAGGCTGCTATCAAATCCCCCCTCATTCTTCTCTTCTGGAGACTAAACAATCCCAGTTCTCTCAGCCTCTCCTCATAAGTCATGTGCTCCAGACCCCTAATCATTTTTGTTGCCCTCCGCTGGACTCTTTCCAATTTTTCCACATCCTTCTTGTAGTGTGGGGTCCAAAACTGGACACAGTACTCCAGATGAGGCCTCACCAATGTCGAATAAAGGGGAACGATCACGTTCCTCGATCTGCTGGCAATGCCCCTACTTATACAGCCCAAAATGCAGTTAGCCTTCTTGGCAACAAGAGCACACTGTTGACTCATATCCAGCTTCTCGTCCACTGTGACCCCTACGTCCTTTTCTGCAGAACTGCTACCTAGCCATTCGGTCCCTAGTCTGTAGCAGTGCATGGGATTCTTCCGTCCTAAGTGCAGGACTCTGCACTTGTCCTTGTTGAACCTCATCAGGTTTTTTTTGGCCCAATCCTCTAATTTGTCTAGGTCCCTCTGTATCCGATCCCTACCCTCTAGTGTATCTACCACGCCTCCTAGTTTAGTGTCATCTGCAGACTTGCTGAGAGTGCAGTCCACACCATCCTCCAGATCATTAATAAAGATATTAAACAAAACCGGCCCCAGGACCGACCCTTGGGGCACTCTGCTTGAAACCGGCTGCCAACTAGACATGGAGCCATTGATCACTACCCGTTGAGCCCGACGATCTAGCCAGCTTTCTATCAACCTTACAGTCCACTCATCCAGCCCATACTTCTTTAACTTGGCGGCAAGAATACTGTGGGAGACCATATCAAAAGCTTTGCTAAAGTCAAGGAATAACACATCCACTGCTTTCCCCTCATCCACAGAGCCAGTTATCTCATCATAGAAGGCAATTAGGTTAGTCAGGCACGACTTCCCCTTGGTGAATCCATGCTGACTGTTCCTGATCACTTTCCTCTCCTCTAAGTGTTTTATAATTGATTCCTTGAGGACCTGCTCCATGATTTTTCCAGGCACTGAGGTGAGGCTGACTGGCCTGTAGTTCCCCGGATCCTCCTTCTTCCCTTTTTTAAAGATGGGCACTACATTAGCCTTTTTCCAGTCATCCGGGACCTCCCCCGATCACCATGAGTTTTCAAAAATAATGGCTAATGGCTCTGCAATCTCATCCGCCAACTCCTTTAGCACCCTTGGATGCAGCGCATCCGGCCCCATGGACTTGTGCACGTCCAGTTTTTCTAAATAGTCCCGAACCACTTCTTTCTTCACAGAGGGCTGGTCACCTTCTCCCCGTATTGTGCTGCCCAGTGCAGCAGTCTGGGAGCTGACCTTGTTCGTGAAGACAGAGGCAAAAAAAGCATTGAGTACATTAGCTTTTTCCACATCCTCGGTCACTAGGTTGCCTCCCTCATTCAGTAAGGGGCCCACACTTTCCTTGACTTTCTTCTTGTTGCTAACATACCTGAAGAAACCCTTCTTGCCTTCTTGTTACTCTTAACATCTCTTGCTAGCTGCAACTCCAAGTGTGATTTGGCCTTCCTGATTTCACTCCTGCATGCCTGAGCAATATTTTTATACTCCTCCCTGGTCATTTGTCCAATCTTCCACTTCTTGTAAGCTTCTTTTTTGCGTTTAAGATCAGCAAGGATTTCACTGTTTAGCCAAGCTGGTCGCCTGCCACATTTACTATTCTTTCTACACATCGGGATGGTTTGTTCCTGCAACCGCAATAAGCATTCTTTAAAATACAGCCAGCTCTCCTGGACCCCTTTACCCTTCATGTTATTCTCCCAGGGGATCCTGCCCATCTGTTCCCTGAGGGAGTCAAAGTCTGCTTTTCTGAAATCCAGGGTATTCCTAGTGAGACTACTGGCATGAGGAACTGCTCACCGGTAGGAGCCAGTGGTTCACAATCTGGCCCAGAGCTCTCAATACACTCCCTTAAACTGTATTTTTTATTTACTCTTACTTATTTCTTTTGATTTACATAAACATTCAGTGAAACGGGGCCCTTAGCCTGTATTCTAGGCTCATCTTGACATGTAAAAAACTGATAGATTAAAAACAGATTACTGCTGTTAACACATATATCCCTTCCTTCGATAAATAACATAATCACCCAGCATTCAAAATTTTAGTTAAGATCTTTATAGGCTCCCACCCGAGTGCTCCCAACCCTTCACAGCTAGAGAAACAAATGGATCTGCCTAGGTCAGGAGCCAGTATTGAGAACTGTGCAGTTGCACACATCAGCCTAGGGAGTTCTCAATACAGGCGAGGGGCCTTAGAATCTGCAAATCAGTTACCAGGCTGACCAAGTGAAAGAGAGAGTTTTCTTTTTGTTATTTAAAAAGACATACTTGTATTTATAGTTCTTCTGTATTAGGCCCCAAGCCTGCAATGGAATTTCTCAAATATATATAATTATGTGCATAACTGTTTGCAGGGCTGGGGCCATGTTCAGTAAACTGCCTTGGTCTAGTAGAGGTTAGAGCACAGGACTGGGATTTAGGATTTCTTTTCTGTCACTGACTCAGTGTGTGACTTTGAGCAAGACCCCTAGCCTCTCTGTATCTCAGTTTCCCCATCTGTAAAAGTGGGATACAACACTTAGAGAGCCTCAGAAGGAAAGCTCTATAGAAGCACAAAACATTTATAATTTATTAATCGGGAAGAATGGGGACTTGATAGTCATCCCAACCAGAGCTTAAACTCCTATATCATTCGCTTTTCAAATCCCTCAGCTCATGGCTTTTCTAAACAGTACAGAAGGGATGGGAAAGGGTAACACAGGCAGAAACCCTAAACTAGTCTGCAGATCTATCAGAGAAGTTCTTCTTATGAACATTAGCCTGGGTAAAATTTCCAACAGTGCCTAGGTGACTTAGGAGCTTAAGACCCATTAATTTTGAAAGTAATTGACAGTAAATGGGGTGTGGGAGCCAAAGTGTCTAAATCACTTCTGCAGTTGGGACTGACATGCCCAAGTCATATAGGTGCTTTTGAAAATATTATCCCGTTTCCTTGTAGGAAGTCAGGGAATCCTATTAATTTTCACAATGGAATTTGGGTGGGTGTGCATGCGCACAAGTTAATTTTAACTTCTGGGATGAGAAACGTGATCGAAAGAGGGATCTCAGTTAAGTCAGCTATACAGGTTTGCTGCCGTTTCCCTTTAGAGCAGTGTTTCTCAACCTGGGGGTCAGGTCGTAGGATGTGTTTAGGGAGGATCGCAATCAGGCCTGGTGTTAAGGGGTCAGAAGCAGGGCAAGTGCCTGGGGCCCCATCCCACAGGGGCCCCAGCAAAGCAAATGTACATATTTCAGCCCCAAGCCCCATGAGGCTGAAGCCTGAAGCCCCGAGGAGCTGAAGCCCCATGTCCTATACCCTGTGGGGCTGAAGCCCCATGCCTGTAGCACTGAAGCCCTGAGCCCCTAGGAGCTGAAGCCCCATGTCCTGTGCCCCATGTGGGGCTGAAGCTCAAACCCCACACCCTGCGGGACTGAAGTCCCGAGTACCGAGGGGGTGAAGCCCTGAACATACGGTAGGGAATCACAATTTTCCTTAGTGGGGGGGAAGTCCAAAGTGGGTCACCAGCACAAAAAAGTTGAGAAAAACTGTGTTAGAGTGATATCCACCCTTCAGTGCAGCTGAAATGAGCAGCAGGCAAGCCACCACACAAACTCAAGTCTGGAGAGAGAGGCAAGGCTGAAGGCTTAACTCTATTTGCATGCATTAGTTAATAAGGCAACATTGCCGAGTAGCCCATTTGTATAAATCTTCTCATATCACAACTCAGAGATGCTGAAATAACAGCTGATGGGCAAATTGCTTCATATTTGAAAACCATTCATCTGTTTGCAACCATGGAATTGCTAAAACAGTGCCCGGAAGCTTGGTGCATTATCTCTTTAAAATCCAAGACTGAGTGAAGGAAAACTCCTCCTACAGGGTGGTGGCCCTATAAGGAAGGCAGTTTGCAGCTTACAAAACCCACAAGCACTTACTGCTTTAGCTATTACTATTCTGCTTGAAGGATAGAGCTGCCTGACTTCTTCTTAGAAAGCAATACTGTAAACATGACTCAGGAATTTGTCCAGAGCAAAATCAAATCTGATAAAGTGGCTGTTTTTATAAAGCCAACTTGTCCTTACTGCCAGGATGCAGTGAAACTACTCAACAAATATTCCTTCAAGAAAGGCCACCTGGAATTCATTGACATTACCACCCAAGATGATATGGATGGCATTCAGGATTATTTCCGGCAGACAACAGGGGCAAGAACAGTAAGTTTTTCAATTATTCATATTTGATAGTTGCTTAATTGTGGTCATAGTTTTCTCATTTATGTAGTGCCCAACAGAGTGCTAGATGCTCTGCAGTCACAGAGGGCAGGTCCCTCTCCTGAGGAATTTGCAGTCTAGCTAGGTGGAATAGAAGGGGAAATAAAATACAGCCAAAGACTTTTTTTTTTCTCCCAATCCTATTTAATGGGTTTTTAATGTTCTTTGTGGTGTCTTTTGTTTGTTCTCTTGTAAAATGGCTTCCCATGTTCAGAGTAACTGCAGTATTGCTGTCTTGTGTGCTGTAGTATTTTAGTTCACTAAGGTTCACCGTTCTCCTCTCTGTGAGTCTTGCATCTGATTGGTGCTATGTAACTAGTTTAATTAAGGTATGTGATAAATTTTATAGAAATCATTCAGCTTCTCAACTGGATTTCTATGCATTTGGGACAGTCAGGTTAATTGTATCTATGATGCCTTAGACATAACAATGAGCACCTTCCAAACAACCAAAAGTTGTGATCCCTTGGGTTGTTTCTGTTAGGAGGAAACCTGGATGATGGAATCAGCTATTTGTTTAATGCAATCCCTGTTTATTTACAAAGACTTGTTTCCCTGAACACAGCAAGAGATGGTTATCTGCTCCAAGTCTCTTTCAGCCAGCACTGGGTCAAAAAGCTCTATTAGCTTTTTTCTCTGGGCCATGCTGTCTGTGCTTCTGTGACTGTGTTCTGTGTCTGATGTCCTTGCTGCCTTTTCTCAGCTTTTCTGGTCTTTCTGCTGTTTCTGTCAGACACCCAGATGAACACAGCTCCAATCCAGTCAATGCTCTAGCTCCTGCATTTGCTGTATCATTCACCAGGGATACCCTTTGACCCTTATAGTTCAGACTTTACTCAAGCCTTGCCAAGTGCAAGTGTTTGGGGTGATGCTCCTATTGTGTCAGCTATCTGGTTTTATAAATGAGCTTAACGGCTTTTTATAACTATATATTAAATGGAAGATGGTGGATACGCTTCCCCCAGTTTCAAAGATGACTCTTCACAACCCATAATAATAGGGTTACCATATTTTAATTTCAAAAAAGGACACTCCGGCTCCGCCCCTTCCCTGCCCCCAGACCCTTCCCCAAAGTCCCCGCCCCAACTCTGCCCCCTCCCCTGAACGCTCTGCTCCTCCCCCTCCCCTGCTTCCCGCGAATCAAATGTCCGCGGGAAGCCTGAAACAGGGAGGCAGCAGGTAAGCTGGGGCTGGGGCGGGGCGCGGCCCAGGTGTCTCCCGCCCGGCTCGGGGCCTGGGGTGCCGGCCCTGGCTCCGGCCTGCCCTGGCCCCAGCGGTGCCGGGCCCCCGGCCGAGCACCGCCGGCCGCCAGCCAAGCACCGCCGGCCCCTCCCTCCCTATTTTCCCGGACATGTCCGGCTTTTTGGGATTTTCTTCTGGACGGGGATTTGAGGCCCGAAAAGCCGGACATGTCCGGGAAAATCCGGACGTATGGTAACCCTACATAAGAAGCCTAATATTAACTCACTCTGAACATACTGTTCTTGCCTTGTCATTTGTACTGTACGAGTAGCATGGAATCTTAATGTACGCAGACACTATGGTGATAAGCACCATGGAAAACCTGTACATAAGTTAACCTTTCACAACACAAGCAAAGTGAAAGTATGGTATGCTTGAGCATAGGACTAGGAGTCTAGAGTCTTGGGCTTTAGACTCAGCTCTGCCACTTGCTTTCTATATAGCTTTAGGCAGAGCCATTATCTGAATTGCCCCACTTTATCTAGTTGTAAAGTAGCTATAATATTATCTACTTCAAAATGCCCTCATTGTGAGTCATAATACTTGGGAATACGTTCCACCAGTGGAACTCCAATTGCTTCACAACTACTTATGAAGCAACTTCCTCAATTGCAACACAGAGGACACGTTGTTACACAAATCTCACTTGTGACCCTTCAGTTTTATATTTCACAAAGTTGCACAAGGATTGGTAAGCAGATTTCCTCCCAGATAACTATTTGCATAGTAGCAAGCCAGCCTGTTCTAGTAAGTTAAAAATCATTTCCTGGAAACCTGACTCAGGCTTTACATAGAAAATTCAGTTTTGTTTTGAACATAACATAGATTTTGGTGTCAAAATAATTTGGACAGGCATAAAGATTTGCTTCTGAGTTGGCAATGTGCAGATATCTCATAGGGATGGGCAAGTAGAATCAATTATGACACTCTTCTCCCCAACCCCAACTCTTTTTGTAGTCCTAAAACCAAATGTCTTGAGGTTTGGCAAAGGTCCAGTTAAGAGCTTCAGGCTAGATTAACAAAGGTAAATTAGGTGTTGCATCACCTACATCCTAGGATTCCTGTAGCTCAGTGGAATTTACAGCCCCAAGTTAGGGTCCCAGGTGCTCCATCAATACATGGGAAGAGTTAGGTGCCTAAGGAAAGGATTCTGAGAAGCCAGCCTAGGTGCCTGGACTGACCAGCCAGAGGGAGATGCTTCCTCCACTGGGGATTTTCAGTTGTGAACCCTCTCCTGGAGTTAGGTGCCTAAACCAGATCAGATCTTTCTCAAAAGATAACAGAGCAGAATAGCCAATAGCCTCCGCTCCACCCCTTTCCTCTGAATTTTGCTCTTGGCTAACTTAGATGGCCCCTGCTCAGTTTGCCGGCTTCTGAGACTCCTTTCCTTAGGTGCCTACCTCTCTCCATATAACGGATGGCACCTAATGCAGGATTGTGAATTCCACTGGGTGACAGAGCACCCAGGGATTAGGCTTTGCAATATGTAAGTATCCTTGTGAATCTGGGCCCTAATGTCTTCAGAGAGCCTGCTGTGCAGCTTGTTTTTCCTCGCCACTGACTAACAAATGTCATTTGTGTGCATGTCTAGGTCCCCCGTGTGTATATTGGAGAAGTCTGCATTGGTGGATATTCTGATCTGGCTGCTTTAGAAGAGCAGGGAAAACTCTCTCAGAAGCTAAAGCAAATTGGTGCTCTATAGTAACATGAAGGTGAGTGAGGGGGAACATAGTCCGATCACTAGGAACCAGCTCCTGTATCGGAGAGGAAATTTGAATGTCATCCGGTAGATCAATGAAATCAATGCTACTTCTGACTCAAGTGTAACTGGTATTGTGCTTACTGCACCTTTCCAGGGAAACAAAATCAGGGCACCGTCAGTTTCACTCTGCAACACAAAAGCAAATGTCCTAGTGGTGGTTTTGTGAAAGGTTAGTGGAGGATAATACAAAGCCAGCTCTGCTTGCAGGGCTAAGGAGGCTGCAAAACCATAAAAGGCTACATTATTGGTAGCTCTTGTTTCAGATCCAGGAGAATACATGATGTCACCGCTTTTGCCCATATCCAAATATATTTCAAGACAATTCATTCCCACAGAAAGGTGGAGCTTTGTGTTTCTTAGGTTGAAAACAGAAGCACTCTTGTGGTATTTGGGGTTTCGTTTTAATGCTTATGCCTGACTCAGTATCATAATGCTGAGTGCTGTGATACAGTTGACCAGCATTTGATTCCCAGGTCCACTCATGGTTTCTTTCTACTTGCAACAGCTTGGCTACCAATTGATTATCCTACAGGAGAGAATGTTACACTTGCCCTAGTTTTTGACTGTTTTTTACCTTTTCCTAGCTGGTCTGTGTAGGATATAGGCTGCTGAAAACTACTGCAGCTAATAGACTCTTTACCTCACAGGGCAGAAGCTCCTTTTGGAGTAGAGAGAGATGTAGCCTGACTGACAACCATGGAGAAGATGGCGCCATGGTATCATCATGCAATAGATCTCCTAGAGCCCACAAGTTCCCACAATCTGTTAATTTACCATATTTGTTACCTGATGGTACTACAGGTGTAAAATTACTTTTTAAAGTGGTATTGTCTAACATGTATGGGCAGGGACTGATCTTCATTTTAATCTAATCCTCGGGGGGGAGGGAAGTATTAAGTGGTCTTTCCTAACTTGCCACACTTGACTGAGGGGTAGGAAGCTAAAGGGTGGGTAGTGCATTGATGGGGTTTTATAGAAACTCAGCATAATATCACACCTAAGAAAATGTGAGGTAGCCACCCTACTGCAGAACTTCCTACACCTAGATTTACACAGCACCAGATCTTGTGCTGCTGAAACATGACCCCCCCCCCCCCAAAAAAAAAAAGAGAATAAGGGTTGCAGACTGGACAAAGCACTATGCTAGCTTGTGCAGCACAATATAGCAACAGTGACTGTTGCTTGGAGAGTGTGAGCATGAGCTGTGTATTATCTACCTCTTTTTAAAAAGGGTGGGACAGAGCACTGGGAATCCACCTTATTAGAACTGAAATCCCAGTACTGTTCTGGCATTGCTAGCATTGGCATAGTGCACTGACGTGTGACTTGAGTCATTGGGTGTGCTGCTATGCAAATATGAGTAATACAAATAGTTAAACTTGGATCTGTTCTCTTTTCCTAACTAAACTACTCATTAAACTCAGTCTTCCTTTGTCTTTGGTGCTTCATGGAGCTCAGTGGATGGCATCTCAGCTAGCAGATAAATAGTAATAACACTTGTTACTTTATTGTAAACTTAACGTTCGTGCAATACCCTGCTTACTGCCCAAATATTGGTAACTTAGATACAGCTCCTCTAAATAACCCTCTGCTAAATATGCACTTTCCATATGTGAAACTAACCAGTATGTGGTCAGCTAGCTGTCTTGCTTTCTTGAAATTTCATGTTCTTGCCACATTACAGCACTCTCTACCCTCTGATATGAAAGCAATTATCTTGCTCTGAACTAGGGCTGGCCAGAAAACAAGTATTCCATTTACTGAAAAATGTTGAAGTTTTGACACTTGCTTTTATATCTTTAAAAAAAGGGGGGGGGAGGGGGGAAGGTGGAGAGAGACCATCCCAGAATAGCCAATAGTCCAGGGATTTGGGAGAACCAGATTCAAGTCCCTGTTCTGAATTAGGCAGGACTTGAATCTGGTTCTTCCACTTTCCAAGTAAGCTCCCTAAAAATTGGGCTATTGGTTATTCTGCTCTCTTTTTTTCTTTTGACCAGAAATTTCATCCTGGACCTGAGGCAAGTCTTGTCAAAACGGATACATTTCCATGAAAAGTTTTTGGTTTCAACAAATCGGCCTCTTCTGACAAGCTGTTCATCAAAATTCCCAACAAGCTATACTCTGGACTATGACATCAGCCAGTCATATCCTCCATCTGCCTGATCTCTTCATTCTGAAAAATCCCTACAAGTTTTTTTTTCCTTAATGATTTGAGCAGTAGATCTGTCAGTCAAAGTTGGCTACACTTCCTTGGAGTATCATGCAGTACTTATGTCACTAATGTAACTAGACTTCTTAGAATGGATTTAAGAGCTCTTCTAGGCATGTATTCTTTTGGTAAACTGGCCTCTTCCAAAAAGAACCTGTAATCTCTACTTGTATCACTTCTAATTTCAGGCCCAAAATGACTGGAATCTGTGACTGCATCACCCTGCCACTGGAGCCTTAGCAGTGACTTTCCTGTTGCCATCTGATTTCCTTCTAAATCTACAAGAGAAGTGGATATTGGGCATCTGTTCTTTTGATGGTGTTAATAGTGGTGCAATATGTTATATCCCTTCATCCTGGGAGCAAACCCAGAAAATGATTAGATTTTGCCTAAAGGAATAAAATGTTTGCACTAATGAGGTGTATTTACCCGTTTACAGTACAAACATTCTTTGTATTGCTCAAGCCTTACACTCATGCTGTCTCCCTTCTCTGCGCGTTTCTCTCTCTGTTTTCCCCCCCCCCCTTAGGATAGTTATCCAGCAACTCACCTCTTCCTTAGTAGTGTAGATAACTTTAGCTGTTTTCCACTTTATGACAATGTATTAAGCTGAAGCCATATAGGGGGAAGTGTAGGATGTTGATGTTCCAGGTCCTGGAACCCTGTTTGAAAGTAGCCACTGGAGTCCGTGTATACTGAGCCAGCCATCTGACAAGCATATGACCCTCTGTTAACCCTGGCATGCCTCTTAACAAAGGTTGAGAAAACAATATTCTCTGCTGTGCTTCCCTTATTACAACATACAGCTACAGGCAGGTGGTTGCAGCTCAGGTAGTTCAGAATGAGTGCAGCTGGATAGGAAAGGAACGCTACATGGGAAAGTGTGATTTTTTTTCTGCAGGGGTGCAGCCTACCAGTAAACTGTGTTGGGTCTTTAAATAGAAATAACTTGAAAATGACTATTCTGATGGTACTGGCCAATTTCAGGACTCCAGGAGGATGGGGTTGGGCGGGACAGCAGAGTGGGGGCGGGTCAGTGTGTTGGCTGTTAATGAGTAGAACTGGTCTAAACTCTTAGTTCAAAAACTTTCTGCATCAGAAGTGGCTTCTTTCTTTTTAAAAAAAATTTCAATGTTTTTATTATTTTCTCCTCTCTTTGATGGCAGAAAACAGAACATTGGACACTGCTCATTTGTTTCCACAGCTGTGCTTCCGTCCCTTGCCTGGTAAAAAGCCCCACACACACTCCAAAAAAAAAAAAATGTGTTGGGGGAAGGGCATACTGAAAACTTTCAGTATTGAGGAAATCCTGTGTTGAGAACTCTTGTATGAAATTCTGAATAAAATGGATTCCTCTTCAAAAGCTGCCATTTGAATGTTACTTCACATTTTTTTGTGAAAAATATTTACCATTTTTGGAGCAGCTGTACTGGTAAGGGAATAAGAACCCAGGCTGGTTGGTTGGGGGGGGGGGAAGTGTGCTGTGGCAGGGACTTGGCAATGTTGGGGATCACCCTCAGCAAAGCATGCTATACAGCACAATTTGTCTCCAGCAGGCCAGCCCAATGTGACTGTGTGAGTCTGTCTAAACTTCTGGCTAGGCCCAAGCTTACAGTCATGCAGCATTCTCATATTGTAGGAGTCCTCCAGAGAGTTCAGCTCTTTATTTCTGCTCGGCTTTTACTTAAACATTGTAGAAATGAAAAGCGATCCAATGAAAACACTTCAGTCCTGGCCGGCAGCTAAACAACGTGCCATATGCTTCCTTCCATTTTGGAAAACCCATTGGGGAGGGGGGGAAGCAAAGTGGTTCTTGACCAGCTTAATACCCTCTTCCTCTTGGAGGAATAAAGGTCACATACCTATAAGTTAGCTGGCTTTAGACAGTAGGGTACTGCACAGCTTGTTCCATAAAACCTTTTCTATCACTCCCCGTTTCTTCTTGGTGGAATTTAGCAGACTCTTGTATGCAAATAAAAAGTTCTGTTCCTTAAATTTAACATTTATCAAGTAGAGATTTCTTAAGTCACAAATGCTGCTTTTTTTAAAAAAAACTGTGTTTAAGTTACACTCGTACTGTATGCCTAGCATTATGTACAGTATTTCCAACTATCTATTGTAGCAGCTAGAGTTGCTAGTGACTGGGTAAGTCTAATAATAGCAAGTGCCAGTGTACCATGCTTTGGCTCTGCTACAGGAATTTCCCCTGCTCCACTCACAACTGTAGGAAAATCAATCTCTCTCAGAACTCCACCTGCTTATGTGATAATGTAAGCAGAACATATGACTACTCGTGCAGAAAATTACCTGACATTTGCAGCCACAATCACTTCTGATGAGAGAGAATATTTAAGACAGCATTACAATTACCATGTATGCATGAGTATTTTAGTTGTAGTGATTTATTACATTATGCAGCTGGTGCCTTGCTCATCATTTTCTGGGTAGAGCTGGCTTTTTGGGAGGAAGGGGTGTTATGTATACGATGCAAGTTAGTATGCTTTCTCTTTCACTGAAAGGCATAAATTCCACACTATTGTGACTAGTCAATAGAATATAAAGAGCATTTATTAGAAAGTACTAACTTAGACCACTGATCTAGTAAAATATTTGGCCTCCAGCACCATCCACTATAGGATTCTTCAGAGCGACGTGGGGAGCCTATGCAGTTATATTCATCTAAGGTGAGCTGCAAAGCAAAAATTAAAACAGTTAAGTTTAGACTTCACAACTAAAAATCTGCAATATTCTAGTCAAACAGCACAGAAGTTTTGCACAGTTCACCTGTGGTACTTTGTTGCCAGGGGATGTTGTGAAGGCCAAAACTTTACTGGGATTCAAAAAAGAATTAGATAAATTCACGGAGGATAGGGCCATCAGTGACCATCAGCCAAGATGGTCATGGATGCAATCCCATGCTCTGGGTGTCCCTAAAGCTGGGAGTGAACAATGGGGGATGCCTCACTCAATGATTGCCTGTTCTATTTGTGCCCTCTGAAGCACCTGGCATAGGCCACTGTCAGAAGACCGGCTACTGGGCTAGATGGACTATTGGCCTGACCCTGTATGGCTGTTCTTATGTTCTTAAAATCCTTTCTCTCAGCATAGTTTTCTTTGGGGGATGAGTTACAACAAAGGAAGGTTATTTACCTTATAGTACCTAGAGTTCTTCCAGATATGTGATCCCTCTGGGTATTCAATAGCAGTGGTTTTTGGTTTGCACTTGCGTGCTACACTACCTCATGCTGCAAACAGAGGGTATACATGGTGATATGGCCTGACCACCTCTCAGTTCCTACTCTACTGTGGTTCACATGATGATCCAAAGCAGAGAGGAAAGAGGGCGGCTTGTGAATACTCAGGGACCACACAGCTCTAAGAACGCCAGTTACTATAAAATAGGTAATAATCCTTTGAGTGCTGGTCCCTGGGGGTAGTCACTGTGCATGATTCCCATTGAGGAGGATGATGTGAGGTGGTACCTAGCACCACATTCAGAAGTAGTGAACCAAAGTATGCACCAGCTGCCAAGGGACCACTCAGGGCATACGGCCTGGTGAATGTATACACCAAATTCCAAGTAGCTGCCCTGCAGACTTCAGCAAGGGGGACACTATGTAGTAACACTACTGAGGCAGCCTGTGTCCTAGTTGGGTGAGCTTTGATTCACCTTGAGTCTCTGAGAAGAGCTGGCTTTGTCCTTCATTCTTTCAGCAAATATCAGATCATCTTCAGTGGGATTCTGCCTGTTCCTAGAGAAGGGCAGCAAAGGGGTGACAGGATTGTGATGATAAATAGTTGGCTAAGGGAGTGGTGCTATAAAGAGGGCTTTGGGATGTATGGCCACTGGGAGGCTTTCGGGGACAGAAAACTGTTCTCAAGGGACGGACTTCACCTAAGTAGGGAAGGAAATAGACTTCTGGGAGGGAGGCTGGCTCATCTCATCAAAAGAGCTTTAAACTAGGAATTTGTGGGAGATGGTTGGGAGATGTCCAGTTAATCTCCACACCAGATTATAACATTGAGACGGAGGTCGATGAGATAAGAAAGGATATAGCCGGGGGGAAGAGATTGGACATAAGGAGGCGGGGGGGATGGATACTAGACTAATAGGTCATACTGGCGGTAAGGTGTCCGTACCAAATTGGATAATGAATGTGAGAGAGGCCAAACGGCATAAATTAAGATGTTTATACACCAATGCGAGAAGCCTAGGTAACAAAATGGAGGAATTGGAGCTCCTGGTCTGAGAAATGAAACCGGATATCGTAGGAATAACCGAAACGTGGTGGAACGGTAGTCATGACTGGAGTACAGGTATGGAAGGGTACGTGCTGTTTAGGAAAGACCGGAACAAAGGTAAAGGTGGGGGAGTAGCATTGTATGTCAATAATGAGGTAAACTGTAAAGAAATAATAAGTGATGGAATGGATAAGACGGAGTCTGTCTGGGCAATACTCACACTGGGTAAAAACTACTAGATCCTCCCCCGGGATAGTGCTTGGGGTGTGCTATAGCCGCCGGGATCTAGCCTGGATATGGACAGAGAACTCTTTAATGTTTTTAGGGAAGTAAATACTAATAGGAACTGTGTAATCATGGGAGACTTTAACTTCCCGGATATAGACTGGAGAACAAATGCTAGTAACAATAATAGGGCTCAGATTTTCCTAGACGTGATAGCTGATGAATTCCTTCATCAAGTAGTTGCTGAACCGACGAGGGGGGATGCCATTTTAGATTTGGTTTTGGTGAGTAGTAAGGACCTCTTTGAGGAAATGGTTGTAGGGGACAACCTTGGCTCGAGTGATCATGAGCTAATTCGGTTTAAACTAAATGGAAGGATTAACAAAATTAAATCGGAGACTAAGGTTTACGATTTCAAAAGGGCTAACTTTAATAAATTAAGGCGACTAGTTAGGGAAGTAGATTGGACTAACATTTATGGATCTAAAGGCGGAAGGCGCCTGGGATTATTTCAAGTTGAAGTTGCAGGAGCTGTCGGAGGCCTGTATCCCGAGAAAGGGAAAACGGTTCGTAGGCAGGAGATTTAGACCGAGCTGGATGAGCGAGCATCTCAGAGGGGTGATTAAGAAAAAACAGAAAGCGTACAAGGAGTGGAAGATGGGAGGGATCAGCAAAGAAACCTACCTTATTGAGGTCAGAGCATGTAGAGATGGAGTGAGAAAGGCCAAAAGCCGTGTAGAGTTGGACCTTGCGAGGGGAATTAAAACCAATAGTAAGAGGTTTTATAGCCATATAAATAGGAAGAAAACAAAGAAAGAAGAAGTGGGACCGCTTAAGACTGTAGATGGAGTGGAGATTAAAGATAATCTAGGCATGGCACAATATCTAAACGAATATTTTGCATCGGTCTTTAATGAAGCTAATGAAGGACTTAGGAATAGTGGCAGCGTGACGGATGGGAATATAGGAGGGGGGGTTAACATTACCGTATCCAAGGTAGAAGCCAAACTCGAACAGCTAAACGGGACTAAATCGGGCGGACCGGATGATCTTCATCCGAGAATATTAAAGGAACTGGCGCGAGAAATTGCAAGCCCATTAGCGATAATTTTTAATGAATCTGTAAACTCGGGGGTGGTACCGTTTGACTGGAGAATAGCTAATGTGGTTCC